CTCTAACTATTCTGCATACTTCTAGCTTCAGGTCGTTGATAACTTCATTCCTGAATTGGTCTATGAGGCTCTCTATATGGCGCTTAATGTCTATTGGTGCGGTGTCCGCTATTGCCTGTTTCTCAGAATTGGGGGCCGAGGAGCCTTTCTTGTTGCTTCCCTTCCCCATATTCTCTGTTCTTTATATATGCAAGCTTACATAGGAGGCCCAGCTTCCCTGCCTGTCAGCCACAGCCTGATCAAATTGCGCTGGCTAGGTGTTCCCGCCCACCGCTGTGCACCAGGGAGTTACGGACTAGGCAGCCTACGCGGGAGTCAGTCGCCACTCCGGGCCACCATCAGGCTCTGGGATCTGGGTTAGGCCAGCCTACCAAGTCCTCCCGCAGCATCCCGCAGGCCAGGCACTTTTCACCAATCCCATCCGAGAGGGGAATGTGTGGCTGGAGTCGCCACCGCGCCCTGCTCTTACAGGACTGCCTGAGCCCAGAAAGTCCTCCGCTGGAGTCAAACTGTGGTAGAGTGTCAGTTTCTCTCACTCACCTTGCCACAAGTCAGTGTATGCCTCCTTGTCCGTCCTGTTTTCGACTCCATTCGCAGACTCCCGTTCCCAGAGCTTCTGCGTGTCTCTCCTTGCCGAGCCGCTGTGGAGGCAGCCAGCCGCCGAGCGGCGGGAAACCCAAATTGCGGCTTCCAATGGCTCGGGGTCCAGCCTCCACACTGAGTCTTTTCTGTTCCTATTTTAGTGCCAGGACTGCATTCCAAGTTGGTTTCTCTCAGCCCAGTTCGTTCCTGAGTCAGCAGAGCATATCTCTACCGGCTCATGTCTCCTTAGTCCGCATCATTCCTGACTTCTGAGCCGAGCCTTTCAGAGAGCCTCTGGTAGTTGCTGTTATCTGTCCGCCATGTTCTCCCGGAAGTCTGTGGGTTTAATTGTTACAGCATTGAAAATCAAGGAGACAGGTGACATCCAATAAGAGAGTTCTGAATACAGGTTTGGGGAGGTGGTATAAAGCGCATTCTCACATAAGTCTCATTTCCTTTAGTAAAGGAAATATCACCTTTACTTCTATTCTCTTAATTAGGTCATTGGAAGAGGGAGCACAAGAATGAGTGCCTTGAGGTGACCAGGCCAGGCTATGGCAGGATTCTGCTTTTTATTTTTGTAAGGGACAGAGGATACCAGTATCTACCCCTGCAACTTTGCTGGTGGTCTGGCAATAGTATGAGTCTGTCTGGAGGTTTGGTGAAAATTGTGTTTTTCTGCAGAGGATGTGTATTTAAAATATGCACTGCCTTGGGTTCTGTGGTGCGTGTTTTAGTTTAAAGGTGCTTTGGAATGCAGTAGGTGCTTTCCTGGTGAGCACAGCATGTTAACGTTTGGACTGTCCTTGTCTTCAGCTAGCTGCTATTTCCTGCTGTGAGGGTCTATGTGCCAAGACCTGGGAATGAGTCAATACTAAGGTTGGGTTCCAGGGATATGAACACCAGCACACTTCTGCTTATGTGATCATTTTTATAGCAAGATTCTTTATCCCTGAGGAAAGTTATATCCCCTAGTTCCCAGGCATAAGGATGAGTTTATAACCAATAGTCTCAACCAAAATGGAAAGGGTAGAAACCTGCATACTACTCTGTGGTCATCCCGAATGTCGGTGTTTAGGGTGGAGAGTAAAGCTGAATTTCTATCCTGGAATGTAACCGAAGGTCCAAGAGAAGGGTAAATAGTGAATTGCACTGGGGTCTATGTTTTTAAGTTTCTGATTTAAAACTGACTTAGTTTATCACATGTAAGAGTTCTATTCATTTTATTCTTTAAATCAAGTCTTTTGAGTCATCAGATGCAGACTGGATGGTTTGTCAGAGAGAAATCACTTGATCCACTTGGTTTAAACAAAATAGGCTCATAGGAATGGTCCTGTATGAAAATTAGCTGCCTCTTCTCTCACTCTCACGGGATGATAGATTCAGTGGGGGTTCAGTAGGAAGGTACACAGGACAGCGCTTCCCAGGCTGCCTGGAAACTTGTTGCTGTGATCTATTGGAGATGATAATTTAACTCTTCATCTTGTCCTGAACTTTCTCTATTCAGTTCAGCAAGCTGGCTCCATTTCATTTTCATCCCCTGCTCAACTGAGAAAATGGATTTGGAAATTAGCTGGGTATTCTTGGCTATTTCAAAGATCAAGAAATAGAATTTTGTTTCTTTTTCTGATATGTAATATATAAAATTTAGAAGTCAAGAGAATAATATCTGAATATGGCCATAACTAATTAAAATATTATTATATTCAGGACTGAGGTCAAATACAGCTAAGGAAAACAGACTTACAGATGCTCAAAATAGATGAGTCTTCTGAATTAGCTAGATTCTCAGGGAATTTTCATAATCAACCAGCAGAAATTGTGTAGTACTTTCCTCCTTTGCAAGGCTTGAAAATTTATTGAATTGCAACTAAAAGCTTGCATAAGCTAAGGAAACCTTCCCAGCGACAATTATGCTGCATTTGCTACTGCAATTTTCTGAATGTTCCCTGATGTGGTAGGGATTTAAATGAGACTCAAGAAAACGAGATATTAAAATAGACCACCATGGCCTTGTCTGGAATTAGTCCATGCTCACAGGGTCTGAGAAGTGGCAGTTGAATATAGATGTCGTGGGACCCAGCGTATCTGCCAAATGACAGATGGTCCCAAACCAGAGGAGGAAGCTCGAGAAGATGGTGCCAAGTCTAAGGCTGTTCTGGAAAGGGCTGAGCAGCTGTTCAGTGGTTGTGTTACCACCGATCATGGGCACAGCTGCTTTTTCATCCTGCCACATCCATTTGCTATTGTCTTCACTTGTGATGACTCAGACTTGCTCTTTATCCCTAAGGATGAAATGCATGCGCAGATTTAAGGAGTGCAGAGATTCCGTACCAGTTATCATGAATGATATTTTCTGTTAGCTGCAGGGACCTCAGTGTCTGTGTCACACATTAATCTAAATAAAAACATTTGGGGTTGATTTCCATTGTTCCCGACAGTGTTGAGAACGTGTCATGGTGAGCAGCTCTTAGAACTCAGTTCAAGGGCCCTTCATCCGGCGATGTTGGTAAGGTGCAGAAGACGTGGTGGGTTGTTGATGGTGGCTTGTCACATAGCAAGTCTCTGTCTGCTTGTTCGAAGCTAACTTTATTGACTTGATAAAATACTCTTTAAGAGAATATGTAGGGATTTTAATGAAACTAAATCCCTGTGTAAACATCACTACAATCAACACAAACACCCCGTGCCTGTGAGCTTCCCTTCTGTCCCTTTTCCTTAATCGGTTCTACCAGGCACCTACCCCTCTGTTTCCTGAAGCCATACAGCAGAGCTGCCATGGTACAAGTTTCACACCGTGGGGAATCTTACACTGTGCCCACTTGCGGACACAGCCCTATGGCTCCGCCTTGGCACTGCACACTCTTGGGGAGGTCTGCAGGTCGCTCTGTGTTCACTGGTGAGTGGAACGCAGGCCACTGGAGTTGTCTGGCCATTCTGAATGAAGGTGTTTTGAGTGTTTGTTTACAGCTCTTTGTGTGGGTGAGCATCTTATTTTGGGGGAGGGGGATCCTTAGCGAATTGCTGGACATGCATATATTGATTTATAAGAAAACCTGTGAGACTGTCTTCTGAAGAGGCTGTGCCATTCTGTATTTGCTCTGGAAAGTATGCATTTGCACTTGCTCCAAGCCTGTGTCCCTGTCAGTGGTTAAGATTCGCTGCTGCAGAGGCTGTGCAGTCAGGGCACTGTGGTTTTCACTTGCACTGCTCTGAGATCTGAGATCCTGAGCCTCCTCTCATGTGTCTTTATGCGTCCAGATATGGAAATACCTGTCCTTTCGGGAGGTATCTGTTCAAACACTTGTCTGTTTTCTCATTGACTTGTTTGTCTCCTTGAGTTGTAAAAGTTCTCTGATGTCTTGGAAGCAAATCACTTCTCAGGCGTCTGGTGTGAATATTTGTTGTCAGTCTGTGGCTTGCCTTTTTGTTTTCAATCAGTGTTTTTCAAAGAATTGAAATCTTAAGTTTTGTCTGAGGTTTAGTTTGTTTTTTCTTTTATGGTTTCTGTTTCCGCTGTGATACCAACCTCAGCTGAGTCTACTTGCATAGGTGCCAAGTCATCCCCAAATAGAAACCGGGTGCTCTGTGACTCCTCTCCGCCCCATTGCCTTCCTCCCCAGTCTCTCGAACTCCACACCCTTTTCTGCATCCTCACTCCAGAGTGGGTGAGCCTCTTCCCTTGCCCAGTTGCTGCAGGCCCCTGAGTGATCTCTCCAAAGTGTGTCCTAGTCGTAGGAGCTTTGCTTGACACCAAGGTGCTGATCCTCGAGGTCCTTAGAGTGAATGTCAGCTTCTCTGTGTGGTTCCTGGCGATCAGACTTAACCTGCGTCCCAGTGTTCCATCCCCCACTTTCTTCCTCTTGCCACGCCTGCCTGTCCTGATTCACAATTGAGCCAGCTGAGCCCAGACACTCACACCTTCCCACTTAGGTGTCCTCAGTCAAGCTTGCGCAGGGCAGGTTTTGTCAGTCTAGGGGGCATCCGGGTGCCTCACTCTGGTCCCAGTGCAGCTCCTCTGCTGCCCATTTAGCACAGATGATAAACAGATTAGCAGCCATGTGTTCTAAGGGGTAAGATTAGCCGCATGAGAAGGGGAACTTTTAGGATGGGTGGACATTTGATGGTTCAAAGACATCCTTTACAACTTGAGACTCTGCTGTTAGACCTGGGTATGCTCAGAACACTACCCCCGGAGGTTGGAGTAGAGATTCCTCATGGTTTTGAGTAGTCATGGAGCTAGGCCAGTGGACAGAGTGAACAGAAGCCCTTAGAGGGCAGCAGAGGATCAAATACCAAGAGCATTATCAGAGGGCCAAGGGCTGTGTGTCTGAGCAGAGACCCTGTGTGTCATTAGCCACCAGGCTGAGCTCTGTGCTCCTGGATCCCTTAATAGGAAAAAAGAAGAAAAGCTACAGGAGTGGAAGTGTAAAACCTCACTGGGCTCAGTGCCTTTAGGGAGGTGACAAGAAACATGCTTCTATGAGTGAGCATGAATAACTAGTGGGTGACAAGGGGCATGGCAAAGTCTGTGGCCAATTTGAGAGTTCATGCTCCACCTGTAGGTATGCAAATGAAAGCAAATGAGGTGGGGTTTTGCTGGGCACCCATACCGAGCATCTTCAGACCTGTGGCATCAGCCCACTGTGGGATGCAGGTGTGACGGAGGGAAAGCTGCACCACACACACGATGCAAGAAGTTTCTTTGAAGATGGGAAAAGGAGCAAAGAAGCATCAGGAGGTGAGAGCTAAAATCAGGACTAGAGAAGTCCTCAGCTGAGGACTGAGACCAGGTGAGCAAGCTAGGGCGGTAGTTAATGGTGACCAGAATTAAGAGAATTAATAGTTAATGGGCACTCACTATATTCATCAACAAATGTGTACACGGCTTGTGAGTTTCACACCCATGAGAGCTGCTGGCTTTCTCTCTGAAGAGCTGGGCTTTCGTGTGTACTCTCATGTGAGTGGTTCTGGACAAAGTAACACCCTGTGAAGAATTTGTTACCTCATCTGTGGGAACAGTAGAAGTATCTATTATATGAAAGCATCAGTGCACCTCACCAACATTAGTGCTTTACATCTTAAAATAATTAGGCTGATTAGGGTCATGCCACAGTTTTTGACATCATGTTCATCACCTATGCCATTATTTCTTTTATGTTTGTGATGAGTTGAAGCGGACACCTCTTTAAGGCCAGTAGAAATGCTCTAGCGGGATGAAGCTGCTATGAAGGCCTTCCTTTCCCTCTTGTTCCTCCCTTCTGAGCTTTCTTTCTTCAGCCCGGCTCCTCCAGGATGTGCCTGTCCGGAGCTCCACTGCGAGTAGATTCAGCCCAGCCGTGCCTGCAGCTTGCCTCGACACTCAGGACTCCAGCCAGGTCTGTTTCCATCGTTTGCTAGTGAGATAAATAAATGTTTCCATGTGCCTGTCTTACAAAGAATTCCAGGGAATGATTTACTAACCCAGGTCCAAGCAAATGAGAGTGTGATCTTTAGTTTTCTAGTTTCTTGTATAACTTAACAGACACCTGGGAGACTGTGACTCAGCATTTATGGTAGAAAAGATTTTGCTCTCTGGATTAGAGGACTTCAGATTGAAAGATTCCCATGACTGATGTTTAAGAGCTTGGTTGCTTCTCTCGCTCACGTCTCCAGATGTGGCCTGGTAACTGCATCACCTAGACTGAGGCTACTTTGTCATTTGTGTTAACTGACTTCTCTTGTGTCCAGCTGATTGGAAGGATATAAAATACCATTTTAGGGAAGAGAAAATTAATACAGCTGTGTCTGCCAGGTTTTCTTATCGCCACATTCGCATCATTTGCATGACCCTTCCTTTAGTGAGAAAAACTCACAGTGGGAGGAATTTGTTTGTAGTATGCTGTGTGACTTAGGTCACATCAAACTAGAACAGATCTGTTTCGCTCATTCTTAATCCCTTCTGCATCCCATCAGAGGCTTCTAAAATGGGATGCCTGTAAGCAGATCTGGCCCCTCAAGGGGCAGGGAAAGATACGAACATAAATGTCAAGCGACTTTTGGGGAGGGAGACTTCAATTTGTGGATGATCAGAAGAATGATAGAATAAAGAGCTACGTTTAGAGGAATATTTAGGAGGAAGAATTAATATTCATGACAGATTATTTGTGTAATTTTTTGCTAACAAGGGCCTCAGCACAATTTCAGGTGTAATCTCCTTCATGCTTATTATTATTCTTCTGTATTTTCAATTGAGATATGTTTTGAGTTTGAAAGCTTTCTAGGTTGTTATTTTAACTTTTAAGGAAAAGATGTTGCTGTTTCATAAAAAGTAGAGAAACCCATATTTTATGTATCAAAGAAATGAGTCTAAGTGAGCATTACAGTATTGGAAGGCCTCCTCTGAGTGCATCAGTTCATACTGCTGATTCCCCACAAGCATCCATCTCATCTAGCTCCTGTTATTGTGCATATAGATAGGTGTGCAATCTGTTAGGGCTTTGAATGCCAGGAAGCGTTTCTATGGTTTTCTTTTTGAGTCAGACTAATTCAGAGAGTGGCTGTGACTGTTGACAAACTTGCTGCTGGACAAGGTAGGAGAGGTTATGTCAGACTTCTTATCTCAGACTATGTTGCCTTTCAGACATGACTTGAGTCTCTCCATCCTCGGAATTCCTGTAGCCTTCACTGCCTTACTTCCCATTTTGAATTTTTATTGTACTTCCCTTCAGCCTTATGATCTTTCTTCTGTATATGTGTTACTTCTCCATGTAATTATCTGAAAATAAAGACTAAGTGATGACAATTGGAATTAGTGGTTGAATCTATTTCCTTTGGTCAGAGAAGTTAATATGTTAATAAATAATATGTTATTATTTATTAAATAATAAATAAGAGAGAGTGAAAAACTAGTCACTTGTTTTCCCTGAAGTAAAACTGAATGATGAGCTGGATTACGGCTGTGTGCAGATTGTGCAAGTGACTGATTAGCAACTGTGGATTTGGCATCAGGTGTTGACATACACTTGATATGCAACATATCCAGACAGTATAAAGAAACCACGTGTAGCTCAGTAACCCATGAAACCCTTCGAGTGGGACCTGTCAAGAACACGTTAAATATTAAACATCTGTAAATTTCTTCAAACAGACCACAGGTACCAATGCAGGAAAAACAGTAAATGAGAAATTCTATGGGTCAGGTCACATCTTACATCCTGGAGGGTGTTTATGTGCTTTGTACCATAGAATCACTCCAAGAAAATCAACAGGAAGGGGAGAGAACACTTAGGGGCTGTTTGAGGTGTTAATTTAAGCACAAATATTTTCTTTTTTTAACCTGTAAATGTATGATGCTTATTTTCACGCATAGTGACAGGTCAGCTAATATTCTCTAAAATCTTCTTTGAGTGTGTTTTTCTTTAAGGATGAACCTTAGGCAGACACTAGTACCAGGCTATAATGACCTCTAACGGCAGATTTTCATTTGTTTCCCACATAGGTGCCCTAAAAAAGGCCCTGACTCTGATTAAGTGTTTCACATCTGGTAGACTATCAGTTAATCGTTGATGATAATGACAGATTTTAGGCTAAATATGTTTTGAGAGCTGGAATGTTTTTGTGAATGATACTAATAAAAATAATGACCCTTTGTCAAGCACATATTTCAAGCAAGATGGCAAGCTGCTAACACATTCCAGGTGGGTTTTAGAAAATCCATTTTTGGCCTAATTCTATGAGACACATACAATTTTTCCTCCTTCATAAATTAAACAAACAAACAAAAAGAAAACGTTGAAGGTGGTAACAGTGGGTTAGCAGTACAGTTTGGAAGCTCAGGTTGGAGCCTTGCTCTGAACAAAGGTGCTGTACCCTGGAGCCCATCTCTCAACCGACTGCTCTACCCTTCCCTGCCACGATGTGGGACCCCTTTATCACAGTAACCACCAGCGAGGGGACGTGGGGAAAGCGATTGTAAGGGAAAGTCCACAGAGTGGCAGTAAGTTGCTGGGGTGGCGGGAAGGATGGACTAACAGCTTCCTGGTCAGCCTTGTGGTAGTGATGAGCTCTACCTGGCACCAAATGGTACAGAGGGTGCATCTGCCCTCAAGCTGGGGGCACCTATACGAAGCACCTAAGCGCAGGAGAGCTGTATCTCTCTCCTTGTTCTATGCTGTTTTCAGGAGCCCTGATCTGCCCACAAACATAATGTAATGTGCTGAGAAATGACAACTACCGTGGGAGGACAGACAATCCTGGTTACCTGGCTGCACAGTGAGAGATATGTAAGATACTACAGTGTGCACGTCAGCCTCGGGTAGTAACAGATTCAGTGTCTGCAGACGCAACCAACCAAAGGTCAAAAAAATTTTTTTTTAACAATTTCATCTGTTCTGATCATTTGCAAATTTTTCTTGTCATTCTTCTCTAAACACTGGACGGGCTGACAAGGTAACAGATGAGCATCTACTTACAAAGTGTTAGGCATTATAAGCAGTCCAGAAATGACATATAGCACTGGAAGATGTTTATGGGCTAGGTGCAAGGACCGTGGCATCTCACAGCAGGGATCTGAGTGTAGCAGAAAAGCCCCCCCCCCATATACTTTAGTTGCCCGGGTGACAGTTCCTGTTACAGTTCCTGTTACTTTTGTTTCCTAGAAATGCCTGTTCAGGTGGTGCATAGCTGGCTACTATGATGCATATTGTAAGAAGCAAATAAAGGCAGCCACGTTCTCTAGCTCTGTACCTCTCCTTTGTGACCCCATAAAAATCTCCTTCCCTGGCTCTTTGAGGCCTGACATTTTTATTCCTTGTCAGTTCCTGTCTGATGGTAAATCCTGGATGTCATTTTGGCATTTCTGTTGCCTTAGCATGAGCATTCCTGGGTTTCGACATCTGTGAGATTTCCAAGGTAGCTGGGACTCCTTGTTCACTTTCTTTGATTCTTTTTCATGAAATTAATGTGATCAGCTCTGAACAGTGATCAGGAAGCCAGGGGTTCTGATGCCAGGGCATGACTGATTCCTGCCTCCTGGATTGTAACCTGCTTACCCTGCTCTTCTCCCCCAGAGCTTGACACAGGGAAGTGCACACCCAAGGTCTTTAACAAAAGTTGTTTTGTTGAGGTTAAAATTATTTCTTGTTGGGTAAAACACTTAGAGCAGCTATGCAAAGGAATAGTTACAAGTGACTCTATTTCTCATAGAGGAGCTCTAGAAAATAAAGATTTTAAATATCTAGAAAAAAGTTCTAGAAAGTAAGTATCTAGCAAATAAATTCTTGGATTTTAGTTTGCTTGTAGGTATTTTCAATCAGGGATCTAGCTCTTTATTGTAGAACACTTCAACAAGGATCTCTGAATGAGTGTCTGTTCACATAGTTTGGAAGGACTCTAGCACTTTGACATTCATCAAAATTTTCTCTTCTTTTTATTTTTCTATGCAATTTCCATATTTGCTATATTTAACCTTGTAACTCTAATGCTTTTAAAATTATTAGTCAGTTGTCTTTTGCTTCACTTTATATCATTATTGTAGTTCACTAATTAGTTGTAAAGATGCATTGACAGTTTGATTATGATTATCATGCCATAAAAGTTAGGTTAAACTAAAAGGTCAGATTTCTCTCTCTCTTCCTTTTTTCTCTCCCTCTCTTTCCTTCCCTCCGCCATGTCCTTCTCTCCTTCTGCCCTCTCTCCTTTCTTCTTGCTTCCTTTTCTTCTTTCCTTCTTTTTTGTTGTATTATTATGTGAAAAATGCTTTATTAACTTTGAACTTTGAACATACTCTAAGTTTGCAATGCAATTACACCCTGCTGTGTTAACCCTCTTCATAATTTCTTCATTTTTGGACAAGGCCGTAGTTCAATGGTTCAAACCATGAATATGCAAACATTTTTTTCTTTCTTTTTTTCTTTCATTTTGTGGTTGCTGCAGGGTCAGCTCCTTGGGTACCTGATTTTTAAAAAAAATAGTTTGTAAAAAAATTTGTTAGTGTGTTTGTGATATTTCGATGCATTCATTGTGTGGAATTGGCATGTACACATATTTCATATTGGCCCTTTTTTCCCCCTTTGTTTATTTTTATCTCTCTGAGATTGTCGTTGTCTCATCCACTCAAACTGTGTGAAGAAATAAACTCACCCTAACTAAAATCAGATTGAATTCAGCCACAGTTCACATAGCAATTTCAGTTTTGGTACTGCTTCACAGTTTATTATCTTTTATGTTACATTAATATCCAATATTTTCCTTAGGATCCAGGGGAAAGAGATACCTTTTTTTACTCTGACAGTAGTTGTATTCCAAGCTGCTTTTTTGATTAAATTTGTAGGGTAGTGTTGAGCTAGATCATGTTTTACTCCATGTCCTGTATAACTGAGGGAGCCACCACAAAGGATATAAACTATTTGCTCCTGGGATCGCTTCTCCCTTTGGAGAGCATCTATCTCTTTCCCACTTGGTGTCCACTGGTGAATCTCACTTGCTTTCACATGATGAACTGGGAAACCTATTTTCAGGTCTCACCCACTTCCAGTCATGTGATAGAGCACCATGCAGTGCTCACGCTGTCCTTTGTACCTAATTCATGCACTCGTCTGTCAGATCTTGGCTCCTTTTGAAAATGAATTGACATCTGTCCAGTTTTATTGCCCAGTTCCTGGTCATGCACTGTACACTGGCAACAGTGTAGGTGATGAAGGAAACATTAAACTCACGGTGTCAGAAGGCAACGCCAGTTCTAGTTCCGTCAGTTACTCCAGGTTTGATGGGAAGCATGAGATTCATACTGAGTTTCAGTAGCTTCAATGATCATGTAAGGTCTATTAAAACAATAATTTTAAAGATAGATTTTTATAGTTTGCATGATAATTTGTATTTATATTTACATATAAATTAAATATAATTTTAATCAGGTATTACACTTTACACATTATATATTACATGATATGATATATGTGTGAACATTCACTTTTTAGTTTCATGCCAAAGTTGACGTGCTTTATTTAGGCAAATCAGTATATTCATTCCTTTATCATTTCCAGTTTCAGAAATCTCCATTATTTTGCTGCCAAAGTGTGGGCCATGGACCTTAGCAGCTTGTCGCCTGAGTGGTTGCTGAACCTCTTTCCTGGATGGTTCTAGAAAATACAGATTGGAGTAGGTACCAGTTCCCAGGGCTAATAGTTTCCCTAGACCTAGAAGCTTTTGAGTTAGGTTCAAAATACTTCAAGGGCAGTCTCTGGGCCTTGTGTGCAATAGTCTCTGTGATCTAGGCTTGATGTCATGCTAGCAGATAATGCAAATGTCCTAGAATTAATTATGTCTGCCTTATCAACAGAAGCTGCATATCACAGTGAGATTTAGTAGGTAGGTAAGATTGTGTAAGCCCCTGGGTTAAAGTAGATAGATTTTAGGGAGAAAGAACAGTAGAGCATTCTGTTTATTCTGGTGAATACATTTAGTGAGTGCCTGAAACTGCAGGTAGCATCAAGCCCTGTCGTACAAGCATGTGATGCTGTGCAGAGTTTAAGCAGCTACTGGGGGGAAGTTCACATGGTGAGACAGGATGGTTCATATCCTGGGTGAGGTAGAGTGGGATGGCATGAGAATTCATCACTACTTTGAGAAACGAGTACTTTAAATCATATGAAAAATTCATTTCTCAAGTTTTCCACTTAATTTTTTAGATCACAATTACTGCACGTTACTGAAATGACAGAAAGTAGAACAGTAGATAAGGTGAGACTATTGTTTAAGAAAATATGCAGC